CCCCACCCGGCGGTGCGGCCCCCTCCAACCCAAACAGTGGCTCCTGCCAGTTACTCATCAGAGCCCAGGGCTGGCCCATGGCCTCTGATGTGAGCAGGGGAGTTAGCAGCTGATCTGATCTTGCTTAACACTTTGGGAAGGATCCCTGGCTGAAGCTCAGTGCTGTGGCATGGCTGAGTTTCAGATCCTGGTAGGTGTTTGCACAGCACCCTCTAGCTATCACGCTGAGGCACGTTCCCCCCATCACCGACACACAGATCAGGAGCTTGGCACAGTGGAGGTCCAGGTGCTGGCACAGAGCAGCCATGTCTGTGCAACTTCGTGCCTTGCCCACCTCATTCCCTGGTGTTCTACCGAGGGATCTAGTGGAAATCCAAATTTGCAGTTACCCAAATTTGCAGTTACCCAAATCATGCAGTGATAGGATCTAGCCATTTGGCATGGGGAGGTATATAGAAGTACATACTTCTCAAGGCCCCAGTGGCCACAGTTCATAAAAGCCACCCCGCTGCACGGCAGAGAAACTCAGAGCCTGGAAGAGGCACAGCAGCTGAATGCTTCTGCTCCAAAAACTGCTCCCACCAGCTGAATTTCTTTGAGCTATTTACAGTGTGAGGCCCTGGGCAGTTGTGACAGCGAGCAGCTGGAGCCGTGTGGCCCTGCCTCTCATTCAGCGCAGATCACTGAAGTCCTAGATGGGCGTTAGTTTTCACAAAAGAACATTTCATCAGCTCACTCGATGGTACGCCATCTCTTTAGATGTTCTCTCGGATGGTGTCAGCCTTGGTGGAGGATATAAGCTAGTTCAGTGCAGGCACTGTAAAAACAGCAAATTAATTTGACTTTGTTTTTTTTTTATTCTTGGTTGAAGGGGATCTTATTCCCAGGCACCAGCAAGTGTTCAGCACCAACCAGTTCTTCAGCGGAGTAAGAATTCCAGACCCAGAGAGCATGGTAAGAGCTCCCCCAACACACTTCCCTGAGCCTAGGCTAACCAGCAATCTATCTGCAGTGCTAAGGAGGGATGGTGTTTGGACAGAGAAATGTTCCTGCTTCTTTTTACCCAGGGTACACGTGCTATCTGCTTTGAAGTACAGCTGGAAAAGCCTCGCTTGCTCAGCTTGACCAGTCCTTTGCTGCGCAGAATTTTTTCCCTATCCGAAAGCTTTGCCCTCTACTTTGCCGACGTAGAATATTATTTGGAGGTTGCTGAACCCCTCTCATGACTTTTTAACCGATACCCTATGTAAAGGCGGTCAAACAAATGCTTGATCTCTGCTCTTTCTCCCCGCTTCTGGTGGCACAGCAGCCAGCCTACTCATCCTCAGTAATGCCAGGCTGGTCCCCTCGAAGCGTGTGAAGTGACAGATGCATTTTGTGAGGTACAGGTCCTCTGGCTATGGAGAGCTGGTTCTCTGTACCCCGGTGAATGAAAAGCCTGCTAATATGAATACACTTGCTGCTTTTTTTTTTTCCCTCCAGGAGCCGTTAGAACTGAAATTCCCTAGTATTTCATACTCTGCTCTAGCTCTCATGAAGGTAAGAAAATTGCAGCAAGCAGAGGAGCTCTGCACTGAGACTTAGCAAATGCAGTCTGTTTTGCTTATCAGCTGGTAAATGGTTTGAGAGTTGGCTACTGAATTATCAGAGATTTACTGAAAAATAGAGCTGGAGGGGATTTGGAGAGGATTTTTAATCCACTCCTCTCTAATCCACTCATCTTTACCATGGAGGCGGAAAACATATTCCCTTATTAAGATGCAGTGAATGGAAACTGTGAGGCTGGAGACGCTAAAATGAAGGTGCAGCCGTGGATAGTACTAGCTACGGTAAACACTGGAACAACACAGCTACTGCTGTCGTGGATTCCCCCGTTTAAGAAAGTTGTTCTAGTCCAAATGAAAGTTACAGGCTTAACTGGTTTTTGAGGCTTGATGGTTTGCCACACCATACACTTGTAACTGTCCCTCTAGCCGCAATTTCTATTACTGCCTTGTGGCAACTGTTCAGTATTTGCTGCTTTGCAAGCTTCACGCTGGCTCTGAAAAGCCACTCTTAAAATCCATTAAAAAAAAAGAAAAATATTAACGCATGTATCTGTGCAAATACTCCTTGGCTGTGGTGAGTGGCTGGAATCGTGCAGACCTCTTTAACGAGCATTTTTTCTGATCCTTTACTTCATCTCTTCTAAGGGTTGCCTTCGTATGGACCCTGCGGAGAGGCAGACGTGTGAGCAGCTGCTGCAGCATCCCTATTTCGACAGCATTAGGGAGGCAGCGGATCTGGGAAAAGAACATGAAAAAACGGCTCGGAAACCAGCCAGGCTGACTCGGAAGCATGTGCCAGGGGTAACATCTCCATAGTTGTGTGTGATGTCCTGTGCCTAAGGAGGGGACTGGTTCTCTTTGTTTGGCTCCCGGGAGGTGGGCGCATGCTGGCAGTTAACGGTGAGAGAGAGAGCTCCTGCGTTGGACCCATCTTAATTTTAGCGTGAGGAGAAAATGAACCTCCTGGCTAAAGAGTAACTGGGTGCAAATGGCAGTGTGCATTGCCGCTCCATTGAGTCACTGGGGATAAGCAGCACAGCGATGCGGAAGATTGGGTTTATCCAGGAATGTGCGCTCCTGACAAAGTGTAGCAGGATAGCTGAGCAAACCAGACGGGCTTGCGTGGTTGGTTTAATCTGGAGTTCTCTGGGATCTGTTTGGTGCTTTTGAATCCCAAATTACGGAGATGGCAGAAATGCCCAGTCCCATGTGTAACTGCTGACGGGATGTGATCCCTTACTCGGTTCCAGATGTTACACAATGCACTGGGTGTTTCTGCAAACGGAGTTGCCAAGCAAATGTCTCCCTGACATTTCAGTCTTTCCAGACTCCAGCCCAAGTCTCCAAATCCAGCCCCATGGTGAGAGTCACGCGGCAGTTCTTTCTTCCTGTGAGCCACGTTCCCCATGACAGCTGTAACACTGAGCTGGTGACATGCAGGGAAGTTGGAGGTGTAGGATGGAGAACTGCTACAGCATATAAATTCCTGGATCAGATTGAGTCGCCTCTTCCAATTCTATGACATAGGATAGAACAGGAATATTTTTCTTGCCCTGGATGATGGGAAGAAATACCTGTAATGAGCTGTTCTGCTTGCGGTCCAGTCGTAGAACACCGGACTCTTAGTTTGAAAAGCACAGGGTTACAGTATGAATAGTTTTATATCTTATATTCCTTTCTGAACAAATGAAATGCATGCTTCATTCTCGTTTTAAACAAATACACACTGTGTAACTTTTCCTTTAGTTACAGTATCTGCCTCAGTTAACCAGCAGTAACGTTCTGCCAGCTTTGGACAGCAAGAAGTGCTGCTGCAAGACAAAGAAATCAAACTACCATTTCCCTAACATCTAACCGGATGGCAGATGAAAAAGTATTTATTGTTCGAAGTTCAAGTCGTTCAGAATTTATAAAAGGAGGATACGTGATGGAAAAACTCAATTAATACATGGTATGACTTACACAAAGGTGGTCTGTAAAGTAACGTGCTCTGGGTCACTAATGGAAGGAAAGTGAGGCACGGGGAGAACGCCAGGCTCACATTAGTCAGTGTTCTGTGTACAAAGGAAAATACATTTGGGTTGCCTTAATTCGTGATTGTATACTGGTACGGGATTACTGCAACCCAGTGTTTACAGCGTGAATTTAAAAACCCTGTTGCCTGGCTATCGCCCTGGCGGACGAACTGCAACCTTGCCAAATAAATCGGAGTCCCACTGTGTCAAAAGAGCATTGCTGCTTTAGACTGGGGCTAAGTCGCTGGTCCCACAAGGAGCGGTAAACATAGAGCCTGTGCGAGGAGAGGACGGAGCTGAGCCCGGCTGCTCCAGTTAGCGATGAATCTGCTGGAACGGCACAGCTTGGAAGATACGCCCGTCTTACACACTGCTTTTATAGATCACAGAGTAGTAAAAGTACCGGTAGTGACTTGGACTTTGCAGAAGGCTCAACAGGCACCGTTACCAGAGCATTTTGGTAGTAAAAGCTCTTGTTTTGGTCATCTTTTCAGTGGTCCTCCTGCTTGTTTCTTCCTTGAATTACGAGGCTGTTTTTATTTGCTGTTTCTGTGAGTAGTGAAGTCACTTGCCTGTAGCATTACAGAAATTATTTTTATCGAAAATAATTAATGAATATAATTTATAACATTGGTCAGACACAGGTAGGAATTCTACCTAAGCATCTGTATTAGAACAATTCTTGGGTTTTGTGTGATCTCTGGATGTAATACTGTGTTGATTTTGAATAAAAGCAGCGTAGCTTGTTTTTCCAATTTACTGGATGTGTTCTACTCTATAAAGTTTCACTACTGGGCAAGGAACATCCTCTTTCTACTTGAAACCTAGAGTAAAAATGTTTTCTTTTCCCACTTCTGTTCTGTGTTCAACAACAGTAAAAGCAGTTTCAGTGGGACAGATGCCGTGCCCTCACAGAGTGTGCCAGTCATACCTTTTATTTCATATTATAATTTAATATATTTTCATCTTGTACGTTGTGTCCATAGGTAGTTTTGGTTACACTCAGGAAGCTTTGGCGCTCCAGTGTTTTCAGCACGGACGCTCAGCCATCTAACCCTGCGCACGGGCAAGGTGCCGCAGCGCCCACAAGCAGTCGACAGCCTGGCAGTCAGCTCCTGGACACAGCCCCGGGCAGCGCAGGCTGCAGGCAGCTTCATTCCGGGACACCGTTCCTGCCCACGCTGTGCCAGGAGATGCCAGGAAGGATCTGCCCCACGATGCAGCTAGTGCAAAATGTGATCCTCTCCGGTGCTTGGCATCACTTCCTTCAGGGGATGAGATGACAATGGGGGATAAGAAAGGAGACTCTCAGTTACGCAGAGGTACCGTGGCCGAGATGTATTGAAATCTGCTTGCTTGGCGTCGCCTGCCACCTTTCTCTCCCCTACCACCAAAGCTAGGAATTTAACTAAAACCGCTATATTCTTCCTGAGGCTGAATCATTCTCTTATTTAGCAGGAGTGGTACGGATGCAACTAAGAGGTACACAGAAGTAATACAGTCCATGTCAGCATACGGCAAAAATGCGTGCAAGGGCGTATCTACGAGACCCCGCTTCTCCGCAGACAGAGCAGCGTTCAGTTCCTCAGCTCAGCGTTGACGAGAAGGTTAGACTGCCTGCCTACAGATCGCTCCATTAAAAAAACACCAAAGGCTGCATGAGTCAAAGCATGAAGGACAGAAAAAGGTCCCTAAGCTGTTTTATTAAATCGTCGCCCGTTGATGGGGCGAGATGCTCGGAGAGTGAACAGCTCTCATTCCCACAGCGTTGACAACAGGCAATAAAAGCGTACAGCGCTGCTGCTTCACACCACCGACGTCCTTCCCGCTGTCGTTTTGCACACAAATTTCTGTGCAATGAAATATTTGAAAGTTTCTAATTGATGTATTAACAGCTCCCTGTAAAAACAGGAAAGAAATGACTATGCACAGAAGCCTGCCTTTCTGTTGGTTCACCATATAGTTTAAGCTTAAGAAAACTGAATTGCATAAAAGATTGCGTACAGCTTTTAAGGCTGGATTGGGAGATCTGGGCTTATTTCCATACCTGGAAATTCACTAGCGTCTACAACTTAATTTATGCAACCTGTGATAAATACTATGGAATCGGATACGTCTCAGTTACGTGCAGTTGTGTTTATTCTAAATCCAGCTCCAGCTCCAGGTTTGGCAGTGCCTGCCGAAGGACATGCGCAGTAGTTTCTTTCTCTCTTATCCCAGGAAGGTCACTCAGATACAAATATTCAAGGTTCCTATAAGGAAAAAGAAAAATCAGCAATTGCTATTTAACTGTTGACACAGAAATGATACAAAGGATTATTCTAACTTGGTTATTTTGAGTATTTTCAAAGGTTACTGGTTCTAAGGGAGGTTTTTTTCTGAAGTGGGCGCTTAAAAGTTTTTAGCTCACTGTAAGTTCAGTCCTTCTGCACAGCTTAAAAAGAGACCCTGGACCCCCCACCTCAGGAAGCTTCCTTTACATTAAATAGTATTTAATAATTTCAACAGCAATTTCGTAAAAGTTCTTTTAATGTAAATAATAGAATAATATAGGAAGTCCTTAACAGTAACCTTCTGTAGGATGAAATCTGAGTCAGTCGCATCACCCGCTTGCAGATGCCTATTAACTCTGTGCGATACTACACAGTTCTGAGTTACCTGAAGTTCAATAAAGCACCGGCAGACGTGCTGCAGAGCTGCAGAGCACCCAACCCGTGCTGCTTCCTGCACCTGAGCACCAGAAAACAGAGCTCTGCCCTAAGACCTTTGAGGCTGCAGTGAGCACCAGATAACCCTTGGTATCAGTACAGGCTGGGGGAAGAAAGGATGGAGAGCAGTCCAGCCGAGAGGGACTTGGGGGTGCTGGTGGATGAAAAGCTGGACATGAGCTGGCAATGTGCGCTGGCAGCCCAGAAGCCAACCCTGTCCTGGGCTGCATCAGGAGAAGTGTGGCCAGCGTCGAGGGAGGGGATTCTGCCCCTCTGCTCTGCTCTGGGGAGACCTCCCCCGGAGCGCTGCGTCCAGCTCGGGAGCCCTCAGCACAAGGAGGACATGGAGCTGTTGGAGCGGGGCCAG